CTGATGGTAAGTGACTACTACGGTCCATGAACAGCTGCAACACAGGGGAATTGCAGGTACCTTGCTAGAATCGAATTAACCAGCTATTTTTACGCTCCATAAAAATAGCTGGTAGTAGCCTATTCTACAAAATAGGTTTGCGTGGAAGAAAACTTGTCGTAAATTTCACAGTGTTACAGCCTATATATGTCTCACTCCTGGGCACAAGCCTCCTCTCTTTTCTGAGAGGGTTTTAGGGCAAAGAAATGTCCGCCACGCTGCCGAAATATTTTTTTTCTTATATCTTAGACATATAGGTTACCTCACGATATCTTTCTTCACCTTATTATTCTATAATAAAAAACATGTGTGATTTGGCACATGGTTAATCAGCACTTAAAATTAAAATTTACAATTTCAATTGGTACCGGCGGGGATCAAATCCAGGTTGCTCGCGTACTGTGAAATTTACAACAAGCCCTGAGCTACCACGGCTCAATTGCTGGCAATGATATGGCCAATTGTGTCACGATGTCCGATGGTGTAATTTATACTCGTAACTTATATTTTACTAGTTCTAACAGAACTATACTAAATATGCTACATCGTAACTCCATCACTTACAAATACACCCAATGATAAAATATCCTCAGCATTTCATGGCTACCTCCAGCTTACTCTGAACAAATATAAATGCACCCAGCATTGTAACTGAAATAAAGGGGAACAGTGCAATGGAATAACTGAAAGACTATTATCAGAATGTCTCGCTTCTCAAACACATTTTTTAAAGTAGTTAGGGAGGCAAACGACCACACAGTTCACCTGATGGTAAGTGTAAGAAAATGATGCTGTAGCCAATAGACACATACATTTATCATCTATTAACAAACAAAATTTAGATACGTTGAACCCTAGAGGGCTAAGATGGAATGCCTCATTACCAGTAGAAAGGGTTTCAGGTTCTTGTCCTTAACCATAAAAAACACAACAATATTGTCAGACTGTAGTCCTTGCCCGGTCGAGCCAACCCATTCATGCTGCAGCAATATAACACATGCAGCATATCCCTACCACATACAATAATGGGCTATCTGCTATTTATCGACAGATATATAAGTACCTATTAGGAAGTAGCCTTAGTCATGAAGGATCTATATATTATCTATTTCTGTCTATCTGGCGTAATACTTGGTAAATACAAACACATACGCCACACATGTAATATACGAGGGAGCGGATCACGCTAAGTAAAAACAATGTTGTCACGTTATTCTTTGTTTTAAGGCCCACATAAATATGGTAAGTCCCAAACCAACATGAAAAAATATAAAAAATGTAATCCCATACAAGTATTCAAGCAACTTCTATCATACTTTAACTAAACCTATTATGACAAAAACAATTATTTTATAACTATTTTATTTTCGTGTACTTTTTACATTTAATAATATACTTATAATTAATTTTAAATTTGTACTTTATTTCTAAATATATTTGAAACCTGGCATTTAATATATTTAAGATTTTACCTTTCGTGCCGTCGAGAATCTTAAAGCAATTTTGGATTATTTCTGTCACATGGATTACCAACCTAAGCACGGCAATCGCTGTGTGATTCCTTATGGTGGATACCAAAAGGAAACATAAATTAAAAGAAACTTACTTCAGAGCTAACAACAAAAAAAATATGGTATGGGGTTGACAAACGAGCACACAGTGCACCCGATGATAAATGGATACTGTGGCCCACAGACTTCTATTTTCGGTTGAGAATCAAAATTGAGATGCGCTGTCATCCCTGAGTACTACGATGGAATACCTCGTTTCCAGTAAAAAGGGTTTCCTGTTCTCTACAGTCATACAAAACACAGCCTTAAGCTGGTATTCTGTAAGAGCGTGGTCCTACCGCGGTCGAGCCAGGCTATTCTTTATTGTTTATTATTATTTATTGTTAGAACCATAATATAGCTGCAGCATGGCTCTACCACGTAAAAAATATTATATTTTTCTATATATAGAATAAGAGTGACATACGAGCACACAGTTTACCTGATGGTCAATGGATGCTGTGGCCCATAGAAATTTACAATTATTCTCAATTAAGAATCAAATTGCAGATGTGTTGTCACCCCTGAGGACTAATATGGAATGCTTTCTTTCCAGTAAAAAGATTCTCCGGTTCTATATACTTTCTATACAAAACACAGTAATGTTATTTTATACTGGTATTCTGTGATAGCGTGGTCCTACCCCGATCGAGTTGACCCATTCGTGCTTCAATCATTATATAGCTGCAGCATGGCTCTAGCACGTAAAAATATATGATGAATAAACTATTCCAAAACAACATTTATTATAGCAAACCACGTCAATAATTTTGACACCAGAAAATAAAACATTTAATAGGGTGGATCGATTAGTTAAGATAATAATCTCGACATATATAATGGCTAAAGTACACTAGGAGGCAACAAATCAATGACTTTAATAGCATTTATTGCACAAGATTAATGGAGACTAAAAATAAAGTATTACAAATTAACAATGCATCTGATAGTTATGTAATATGGCGGATTAATGTGACCATTAATGATGATCTCACACGCTATGTAATTTTATAAATTAGGTATGTATCATTACTCGACTGCTCCAGATATAGGATAAGGTTATTTGGGTGTATGTATGTATTTTGTTTCTCTATTTCTTTAGCACGATATGTACCCTAAACGACTTGATGGATTTTAACATTTAGTAACTTGAGATATAATATTTTAATTTTTCTCTTTTCAATAGTAAATTAATTACTTAAGTAGTCGGTCTTTCATCATCAACCTGTAAAAGTCAATGAAATGAATCAATGCACATGGGCCTTTCCCTTATGGGGGATTTGCCTTAAACGCTATGCTTGGCAGGTGGATTGGCGTTCGCTTGGTTATACATGTCATACCTCTGACGCTGCTAATCGCTAACTGTCTAGTTACTTTCAATCCGGCCTAAATTTATGTTTGTGGAAAGCTCCTGCTGGTCTCTATCATTCGATTTGAATCCATTGACTCCATATTAGTTCGAAATGACAAATAACTTTTTTTCCGGTCTGGGTGTATAGTTATTGTTTGGGATACAAGGTGTATGTCGTGGTACGAGGTAGAATCACGCTGCAGCTTGTTATGGTTGCAGCGCGATTAAGTTGGTTCGACCAGAAAGAGACCACGCCCTCACAGAATACCAAATAAAACAGCAGCTTATTGGAATAAAAATAATTTTACGGATTTTATCGCGTTTAATTTTAACTTTTTTAATACTCGACATTTCGGCCACTTTCCAGCACCCATGGTCACGTGGGAGACTGAGGTGTTTGAAGTCCTGATGTGACCATAGGTGCTGGAAAGTGTCGGAAACGTCGGGAATAAAAAAAATTAAATAAAATGCGATAAAATCCGCCTATCTGTGTTTATTCGTATAAATATAAGAAATCAGAAGCTTAATGCAGGATTGACCTTCTATTTTAAGCTGGAATATTGTATGGTGAGTGTAGAGAACTGGTGCCGATTTTTAATAGTAACGAGATATTCTTTCTTCGTGCTCAGGGATAACAACGCATCAGATTTTATTTTCAATCGAAGCCTATGAGATACCTCGGCTATATTAGGTATTGATATGTTTAAAATATTGAGTATATTATTAAAGTTCAAACGAGATATTACATTATGGCCTAGTCAAGCTCTTACTCATTGAATCACATCTCATGCCGCCATGAGCACATGATTATAATATAATCAGATATAATCTACAAATTGTTTACTGCTAGTGAAACGTAAGGCTTAACAATAATATAATTTTCACTTATTTTAATAGATTCTAAGGATGCTGCTAAGACAAAGTATGTTTTGCAGTATTAAACCCCCAATTTCAGAACTTATAAAATTTTTTGAAGTTTATTTTATTGTTCTTAGTTTGTTTATTCGGTTTACTTTTAAGTTTTATTATTCAATGCTTTTGAGTGAATTAAGTAAAAATACAATCTTTTTATGTCACAAGAACATTATTTACATAGTTAAAAAAATATCTCTAACGATCTTTTATATGTACGCAAAAACTACAAATGACATAACACTAATTTTACAGATTTTATTGCGTTTAATTTTAACTTTTTTTTTGTCTGCGGTATGTCAACATGTTCAGAGTCTCCCTAACCATTATATCAGATTTGATAGATTACAATTCCTCGTAAAAGAACACCGATTCCTACCAAGGAAGATAGGAGAAATTAACCCTTTCGCTGTCCCGTGCTCTACATAAAGGTCATTGCTATTGTCTTATTATTGTGTCTGGAAACCGGAAAGTGAAAGTGTTAAATAACATCCCAATTTCATTATAGAAGATGGCTGGGTGCTACTATCTGCTTGGGATCCCATAATTAATAAAATTAATTATGGGATGGTGACCATGGGTACTGGAAAAGTGCTCGAAACATCAGGAATTAAAAAAGTTTTAATTATATAATATATAAAAAATAATAAAACAATATTACACTATTTTTCTTGAAAAAGAATGTTTCAAGGTTTTTGGAACGTTTTAAAAAATATATAAATTGATCCTTTTCATTGGAAACAATGTTCCAATGGTTTTGGTACGTTTTAACGAAATTGTACAATATTTCTTTTACTTGAAAAGAGTGTTCCAATAGTTTAAGAACGTTTTAAAAATATTATAAAATTTTCATTGTTTTGTTAAATAATGTTTTAATGTTTTAGGGACGAATAAGAAAAATTAAAAGATGTTCTCTTGTTGTTGATGTTGATGTTTATTTGTTGATGTTTATTTGTTTGGTTGAACGCGCTAATCTCAAAAACTACTGGTTCGAAATTATTGAAAAAATATTTTACACAGATAATCCTACTAAAAATTATAGTATATATGTAAAAGTTTAGATGGTTATTGTTCAATACCGAAGAAACGGTTTAATGGATTTTGATAAAGTTTCGCCTTGGCCTGTGGTTCATAATGAATTTTTTTTAATGTTTGCAGGTAATCCCGTTACTCAATACTCAAATGAGCAGCGTTCCATTTGCCCACCAACGTTTTCTCCACTTACTCCACTTATTGCTATGAGAACCAGTAACAAGAACAGTAATTTATCACAAGATATGTAAATCGCAGTTTTGATTTTGAACTATATTATACATGAATGTAAGTAGGTATGTATGTATGAATGTAATTATGTATGTATGTATGTATGAGTGAATGAATGTATTAATATCCATACATTATACACGTCTTATGGATAATGAAAAAGATAGATGATATAAGATATATAAGATAAGAGAAGCACAAGTATGTCGCGATATGTTTTTGAAAACACTACAAATAACAACTCAAAAGTCACGATATCACTAAAAAATTATAGAAGTGGCGAGCCAATTGCAGATGGTAGGGGAGTGCATAGAGGAGATATAAATAAGTTGACAGATGAGGATCATAAATTCATTATTGATATTATTAATAAACTTCCAAAATATGAATCACATTACAGAAGAAATAATAACAGTGGCACTTTATATTTACAACATGGTATGACAATGAATAAAATTTATGAAATATACAAAAAAGAATACAAACAAAGGTATGGTGAAAAGCGCAAATGCGCCTCCTTTGAGACTTTGAAAGAGATCTTCTACGCTAATTTTAAATTAAAGTGTAAGAAATTAAAGAAAGATACATGCAACAAATGTGACCTATTATCTATAAAAATTTCTAATGCAAAAATTCAACAAGAAAAAGAAGAAGCTAAAGCTGAGAAGGTTCAACATTGAGAAAGAGCCGAAAAGTTAAGAAATTAGATGAATTAGGATTTCATAGATGCAAAAAACAAACCGCATGTTGAGTGTTAACGTTTGACTTGGAAAAAACACTCCCATTACCTCGGATACCTACGAATGCTGCGTTTTATAAAAGGCAGCTGTGGCTTTACAATAGCGGTATCCACTCCGCATCTGATGACGTAGGACACTGCTATGTATGGGTCGAAGGTGAAGCTGGTAGAGGGGCACAAGAGGTAGGATCATGCTTATTAAAATATATTGAAATAAAAATACAGCCCTCTGTTAAATTCTTATACTTTGGAGCGATTGCTGCGGAGGACAAAATAGAAACATTAAAATAGTTCTCTTACTAAAAACTATCTTATGCTCTCACGCAACATTAGAAAGCATAACATTTCGCTTTCTTGAGTTCGGACATACTTTTTGCCACACGACACAGACTTCTCAAAAATCGAAAACTGCTTAAAAAAATCAGCTACTTATATGCTACTTATAAGCTGAAAAGTACATAGATATTTTTAAAAATGCCAAAACGAAGAAACCATTGCAAGTATGTAGAATGGAGAAAACAGATTTTAATAGTAGAGAAAAGATTGCAAAGAATATAATAAATAGAAAAAAGTTTACAGAAAAAATTAAAGTAAGCTGGCTAAATTCCAAAGAAATCAAAATAGAAAAAAATAAATTATATTCAATATTTATGAGAACTTCTTTTGAGGAAGCGTTTAAGGAGTTGCTTATTGACAAAAAGAACAGAGAAATAAAAAAAAACTAATTTGACTCTATAAAAGCTTTTAGAAAAAATTACATCGCAAATATCCGCGTTATAAAATAAAATGATGTGTCTTACCTAATATGAATAGCACCTCCCGCCTTCCCTCAATTGCGTGTACTATCCCCGTCATCACTAATCCCAGCACCGCTACTCCCAACACCACTACACTAGGTACAATATGTATGTATGTAGACGACATAATTATTTGCTGGACTGGCACAAGGAGAAAACTTGATGTTTTCCTCAATAAAATAAATAGAGTCCATAACAAAATTAAATTTAAACTTGAATTGGAACAAGATTGTTCCCTTAATTTTCTCGACTTAAAGAAAAGAATCATCACATGTATTCCAAATTTATCGAAAGCCAACTCACACCGACACGGTCATCCCCGCTACATCGTGTCATCCGTGGCAACATAAAGTAGCCGCTTTTTATTGTTACATTAACCGTTTGTTTACTGTCCCATTAAGTAAAGAAAATTATTGAAAAGAACTAAATATAATTTATCAAATAGCGGTCTCTAACGGTTTTTCAAAAAATCTTATTAACAATTTAATTAAAAAGAAACAAAAGCATGTTGTTCGCAACTCTCTATACGCGGTTCAACCCCAAAGTGTTCATCGATATGTGAGCAGTTTGACCTACTTAGGCCCCATATCTGAAAAAGTAGCATATACTCTTCGACAAAACGGCGTTTATGTGGCGTTTAAAACAAACAATTCTCTTAGAAATATCTGTAATAATAAAGAGAAGTTGGATATTGGTCAAAAGTCAGGTGTTTACAAACTTGTTTGTGACGAATGCCACGTCGCTTACGTGGGTCAGACTGGTCGCAATTTCGAGAAACGTTATAAAGAGCATTTAGCCGCGTACAGGAATTGCAATCCCGATAAATCCCATTTTGTCAAACATCTTTTGGACACTGGACACAACCTAGTCAATGACCACTCCTTTAAAGTCTTACATACGTGTAATAAAGGGCTGCGGCTGTGTGTGCTGGAACAGTTAGAGATATTAAATGTAATAATTGTACCGTTGCACTGCTGAATGAACAATGAAATGTTACTAACTCACGTATCTTAAATATCTTTAAGCCTGCTCTCTAATAATAGAGAGCCTCGCAATATGGTCGTTTGTCGGCGATTGGTTGCGTGGTTGGAGGGTAGGCGGGCGTTGCACGGCGGTTTGTTTTTAATTTTATAAACGGCTGCGTAAGTCCGGCGGTGATTGGTCGCATGTTTTATCGCACGACGCAGCCGCTCGCTCCTTAAGTAGAGAGCGATTGCGTCATCGGTTTGTATAAAAGGCAGTTGTTTTGGCTCGCCGCTCACTTAGCGGTTAGCCACCGTAGAGTCTATATCACCTGAGGATGCCTCGTGTAGAGGCGAAACACGTGTCGTATTGTCGTCAGTGGTGTGTCTTGCCTAGTTTAGTGGTGTTGGGATTAGCGGTGCTGGGATTAGTGGTGACGGGGATAGTGCACGCGATTGAGGGAGGGCGGGAGGTGCTTCTTCATACTAGGTAAGACACATCATTTTATTTTATAACGCGGATATTTGCGACGTAAATTTTTCTAAATGCTTTTATATAATGGATTTCCGCAAAGTAACACCTGATTCTATTAATGATTTGACTCTTTTGTAGCCCGACGGAAAACCGATCGCACTAGCCAAGTTAAGGTAAGATTTAGAATCCATGTATATGTTTATACCCGAGGACTGCCTTCAATTTTATAAAAAATTAAGAAGTTCCGATGAGATCATCGATGATATTGATGGGTTTGGTGGAGAGCCTGACTTCGAGATGTTTGATGTATAAAACAATCTATCCATCAACTTTTATACTCTGGCTTTTATTTTTTCCAAAAATAAAAAATAAATGTTAAATAAATTAACATTTATTTTTTATTTTTATGGTGAATTTCTTGTTTTCAGGGTCTAATTAAAAAAATGTTAGTTTGCCTTAAGTTTATTTTCTAATAAATCCGTTTTATTTTGTAACAAGTCATATTTATTTTAATTTAAAAATGTGAAACGTTTTTACAAAATTCATTGAATGCTACTTCATAGAAAACTTAATTTTTCAAAAATGTTCCAAAACGTTTTGTTTTTAAAAAAAATCCTATGTTTTAATAACTAAATTCGGAAAGTTAATACATAATAAGACAATATTAATAAAATACTTCAATACAACCTACATTCAATTATCCTAGTTAAAACAAAAAAGAGCCGAGTTAAATGAAGAGTTGAGATAAATGAAATGTTGTGTACATTTCATTTATCTCAATTTCAACTTATTGTAGGTTGGAAAGTTTTTGTATAACTACGTCCATATATAAAAGATAAAATCTGTAAAATTAGTGTCATTCCATCTCTTAATTTTTTACCCTTAGTGTTTGAATGTTTCTTTAAGTTTTAATGAGATTCCCTTAGAAGTAAAGTCTAGTCAATAAAAATCATTGAAATCTGTTCACAAATACCGACGATATCATGTACTACAAATTAATAATATGTATACAAAACAGTTGTTAAGTTAATTGAAGTCAATCCACCATACGTTAATGTTACATGATTTTGTGTATAACATTGCTACTGATTTTGTTAGCGCATGAATAATTTCGTGAGATAATTACTCTTATGCCGCAAGCAATCATCAGAAAGCTTGGATAACGATATATTGTTTCTATAACCTAATTCGCCAAACAACTGAAAACTTTCCATTGTAGTTGTTATGACTATTTAATCTTTATAAGTGAATTTTCATAAGGGAACATTTTTTATAATATGAGAGTAAAAATGATCCACTTGTTGGTGATTGGGATAGAAAACTGCAACCAACATTAGATGTTTTCGAAAAGGGTTAAGCACCATAGACCACATACATGCCCTTCGGCAAATTTTACAGAAATCCGAAAGAAATCTTCTCCGCTGCATTGGAAGACGTTTTCAAGCAGTAGGGTAATATTGGTGCTGCTCCAATTCGCCCCAATATTACACTAAATAGCTCTACATTTCCATTTTTAATCACTTTTAACTCACAGCGATTTTCTACTTTTTCATTTTTTTAACTAGGCAGATGTCTTCTCAATTCTGTGTCACTCTTTTTAACTCACAGCGATTTACCATACTCTTTCAAACATTTATTTATAAAATCTAACCCTTTCACGGCGTTCACATAAAAACATTGAGGATAATGTAATATGTGTTGCATCCATGGATCATCGTAAATCTCCCAATCTCTAATAACTCCTCCACAGAAAAAACAAGCAGCTGTATCATTTATGCTATCGCCAACAATAAAAGAACCCCGCATCAGCCATTTCATTCACCACTGCTTGTCTTAAATCACTCGTTGCCCAATAATGGCTAAATCAAAATAAGCGTGTTTTATATGAATCATATAAACTATATCGGGGTCTGTATTCGTTTTGAGACATGTCCCTCATTCTTTGTGGAGGTTTGATCTTGCTGGTTGCAAGAGTATAATAAAGCTGCAAAGCTGCGCTGATTCCTTATAAACATTTTTAAAAAGTTGCTGGTGGAGAGCTTTCTTATGAAATAAAATAAACAATATTTCAAATGTTATTATCAGAGCACCATTTATTTAAACAAATAAACATCTTTCAAAGCACATACTGAGTCATGATTAATACAATTATACAAATCTTTACAATCTTTATATCGATCATACAGATTTAACAAACTATGACACCCTTTATTTTCTAAATTTTATATATTATTATTTTGTAAGATGGATTAAAAACCGTTAAACTTTTTCTAAACCTTTGACGTATATACATTTATCCTTTATATTATCTGCAATCAAATTCTGATAATTTAAATAAGGTGTTATTCCCTCACACCAATATATCTTTCTATTACGTTGAAGAGACCGAAACAGGTGACAGTCTGAAGAATGTGCAAGGTGAGGAATATAAACTATAAGGTAAGGATGTATTAACACTTCCCAACCAAGCTCTCCGAATTTTTGCTGAGTGACCAAAGATGTGTGTGGTCTGGCGTTATCATGATGAAAGACTCATTAGTTGTCGGCAGTAGAGATCCGAATCGATAGTTTTCCCGGAGGTAAAAGACCGTAATAAACAATGACCTTCCAATCCCATCATACACAGCATCACCTTATGGCGTGCTAATTTGAATTTCCCTACAGGCTGTGGAGCCTGACTACCCTTTCATGTGGTAGGTGATCCCCTTTTGATCACCAGTGATCAATTTTCAATTCAAAAATGGTTCGGTTTCATTACGTTTCCATAGAGAATCGCAAATGAATATGTAGGAAGTATAGTGGGTATAGTACAGAGACTGATTTTGTAGTTAGGAATAATAATTAATTCGTTTACACGAATTAATTATCCAACGAGTCGAGGATAAACTAGTAACGGAATACGACAAGCGCACCGTTCCACGTCAGAGCCAAGACTGTCCTAACGGCGGCCGCTCAGTCCGTTTTATACAAGCAGGACGGGCGGCAACGCACGTGCAATGCCGCAGGTGTGCGGTACACGTGTCGTTAACAAGAATTCTGTCTAGCCAGACCGACGCCACCGCACCTACAACGGTGCAGGTGCCGTCATGGCCATACTGACATGCGTGCGTCCTCGCACGCGCTCCATCACAATTTTAGTTATCTGTAGACAAAAAAACATCGTTCGACTATCCTGACATAACAGCGTCTGGTCCGGTCTATATTGACCCTTCAGACTTGGGTGACAGTCTGTTTTGGTCCGGCAGTAAGCCCTACAAAACTTTAATCATCTTTATGTTTGATCGGAATGATTAGTCTGTATCTTTTTCTATTTTATCTTTTTTTTTTCAAGTACTGTTTTCGCTAGTCCGGAATCGCTATTCCCTATAGCTATATCACTGGACCGGCACAAAGCCCTGCAATGATTGTAAGAACTATTCTTTTTTCTTAACCTCTTTTTTTCAGTACTATTTATGCTAGTCCGGAATCACTATTCCCTGTAGCTATATCATTGGACCGGCAAACGCCCTGCAATGATAGTAAGAACCACATTTTTTTTTCTTACTCTCTTTTTTTTTCAATTCAGTATAGAACAGTTACAGACCAACCATACCGCAAACATGTCCCCGTCACAATCACACAAAAGTGTATCGTGAGGGACGTAGTGACACGATAACACCTAAGTATGTAAACCAACAGCAACTCGACACATATCCCAGTGCAGCACAGACCAGCCTCCCTGCAACTTCATGTTCCTTTCCTGCTCTAGAATAATTACTTCGTTAGAGTGTTGCAATGTCTCTAGTATTTTCAAGATGCACAGACACAGCTACCTCTGACTGTCGCACGTCCTCGTGCGGTTGACAGTGAACAGCATACGGTCTATCAGTTATCACCACCTGCTAACAGATATTAACTCCTGTTAAATATTACAACGGTCGACCATCCCAGACTTCATTTAAGTCACGAACGCGCCGATATGGCTACCTCCAGGTAAACGCACTACAACTTTTCGTTCTGCTGCGATCGTGCTACATTCGCGGCAGCAAGCCGTCGCGCCGTACTAGCGCTAGCGAATCGTCGCACTCCTTTGCAAAATTAAAAGAAATCGAGATAAATGTATTGCGAACCATGGAATTCCGAACTTCCGAAATTCATCACATATTCTCTTAAGAAACGGCAACTGCACGACATTTGAAAACATTGCAAAAAAAATGGAAACTATGTGTAGAGACAGATACCACAACATATTTCGAAGCGAAGGAGGAAACTGCGCAAAATCTACGAAAGCCGTCCATTTACAGCGCCAAAGCACCATTTGTTCGGCGGCCGCTTGAATTTCCCTGCCGTAAGATCAGCCGATAAGTAACCGACTGTAGCGGTGTAGGCTCAATCTAACCAGCGCTCGGCCGTACCTGACCATGTTCGATTAGCCATCACAACGTCTTCCTCATTGATCATTGTTGTAGAGACTTCTACGAATCCCTCGAAATCAAACCCCAATCTTGTCAACGACACAATATTCGGAGCAAACTGCAACAGTGATCAACACATTAGAACACAAAAATGTCACTTATTATTTTTAATTCATAGCGTGTTAAAGTTAATCCTTTATTGTAGTACAACCCTTAAAAGTTTTGAATTTCAAAATATAGCAAATGATAATCATGTTTCGCGTGAACTATCAAATTACAACAAAACGAGAGCAGCAGGAGCACCTGAGGGTTTAAAAGCATCGTCGGGGTTGTAGTCATCATGATCTGCGTGAAAAACAAATTGTTAACTATAAGGACAACATACACAGTTGCCTGTTCTCTCATCTATCACACATACGAGGCCCTAAAACAGAAATACGTTCTCATACCTTGGACTATAATAAAGCACTTCGCTTTCACAAGTAAACATAGGTCTTCATACGAAGTATCTGACACATACTCTTACTTGAACTTGCGAGATCCACATTAAAAACGTGAACCAGCACAGCGCCTGCCAGGACAAAGCCTAATACATGTTCAGAAAACATTACCGTGCATACAGCATACGACTTTCGCGCACACAGTGTGACTCCCACGCATACAGAGTACACGACTTCCGAGGCATCGCCATGTACAGCATACGCGCGCTCCGGGATGGCGCCTGCGTATACGCGCATACGCATCTGCCGAAACCAGGCCATGTTACAGCTGGACCTGGCAGTCCGTTACGATCAGCAAGGCACACACTCAAGCACTTGTAATCACATCACACGTGCTACTGTAACACATAAAAGAAAACATTAAAAATACTCAGTCGGAACTTGATTTCAAGAAATGCAGCACTACTATTGGTACACG